AACTTTCAGGAGCTCCGTATATACATCCCAGTAGTAGACTATGGTTCGGACTAGTGATTGATATCCAAACCGATTCAGGCAAACCGTTCAAGACACTTTCTTTAACTTTTTTATTTGTTAGGTAATCCAATACATATATAAGATAGCTACCTCTATTTTTAGTTTCTCCGTTACAACCACTGAGCTGATAATTGTGAGTACTTAATTCTGAATCAGACACTGCACTATGCCTGAGTGACAAGAATAAAACAGGGTTTTCCTGATATGGTTATGGTTTTTAAATCCAACATCCTATTTAAATTATGAAAGTGCACTGATAAGTAATAAGTTAAAAGGGGAGTAAAGAATTCAAAAAGAATAATAGCTGCTTTATTAAAGTTATGCATTTTTGCGGTGATTAGACTACAGTTCGGTTTGTATGTCTGATCGTATGGGCTGTGGGTTGAACAAGATCTAATATAAGAAGGGAGGGAAATATTGGCTGGCGAAAAAAATCATTATCTCACCTATTTGTTGAAGTTCATTTTAGATAGTTGGGAAAGTTTGTAGCTCAGGTGGATGATTGTGATGCAGTTTGGCTAACATTATGTCTTCGTGGGGAGTGAGGAGTAAATTTTGCGCTACCTAACAGTATGTCTCATCTGTAAGGAAAGTGATGATGGTAGTCATAATATCTGTACATAATAATTTTGATTTTAACCGTAAGATATATAAGTTTCTTACAATCTACCTTGAATTTCTGTTGGGTTTACTTACATTATGGTTGTGGTGGACGTTTCGTGTGACAGTTAGATGAGGTATATTACACTGATTTAAGGAGCATGTTGCTGACAAGCCATATTTCGAATCCAGATTTAGCTGGTGAATCGAGCCAGTCCTTTTTGTTGTCCCCGTATAGCCTACTCTATGATTCATTGGGAGAGTTTATTTTTTTAGTTGATCGCTCATAATATTTTTCGCACCGGATTTGGAACGATACAACTCAGCATATACTTTCTTCATGAATGGTTTAGACGTTTTAATTTTAAGTATTCCTTGAAGCTTCTACTGTACTTTTTGGAAATATCAAACCAGAGGGCATAAGATCTTTTTCGAAATTCAGTATTGATTAGTTATATGAGGCTGCAGCAAGTCCATGTGAAACTTGAGACAAGTTAGCATTCTTCATCGACTAATTAGTGTTTACTGAAAAGTGAATGGATCGCATCAACAAGCTAACAGGATTCTCTGGACTTTCTAGAGCACTATTATCATTTAACGAGCTTTTTCAAGTAAGTCTTTAATTAACAGTAATATATGAAACTATATGGGCATTCCTGAAACCGGTAAGTGCATAGACTAACTGTTCTGATTCCTTTCGTTGCTCACCCGTCGAATGTAAGTCAATTCAAAGAAAAACTGGATACCTTTATTAGTGCAAATATATTGGCATGGACTATCCTGAGGGTACGCTGCTTTCGATAACGAATATATCCTCGATTTTAGGCGGGATTTCGTCAGCTTTATTACAAACAACCACGTTATGCCTAGAGATTACTCGCTTGGTAACTTTGCTTGCAATAAAATTCACGGCAGATACTGCCTTAATAATAATTTCAAAATCAACTGGAACCATATTCTTAGCAGTTGAAGGTGTGATGAAACCTCTATTTCTTGCTCGAAATAGTCATTTTTTGAGAAAAAACTAACATGTCGCTCCATTCATTGAGTATACATAATTACAAAGTTGAGATTAACCAAGGTCTTAGCGCTTTTCTGGGCTCGTTTATTTGATAGGCAACCTATTTTGTCATATATACATACGTTATATTAAGAGAGTAAATAATAATTATATTCTGTATTTTTTTGTCAAAGAGCACGTAACGCAATGATCGAACGTATTGTGTATGCATAAAACTCAGTCTGCCATCAAACAACCGTTAAGTATTTCCTTACTTTCTAGTTCAATTCAATTCAATTCATGATGTCAGTTAACTTAAATTAAAGGAAACATAACTATACCAATATAATTATAAACACCTAGTAAATTTACCACTTCAATTAACAAACACATTTTTCTTTACATTTTAATAAGCTGACAATGATTGTGAGAACAATAACAACAAAAAAATAACATAACTAGAAATTTTAAACAAAACAATTTTTTTTATTTTTCAAATTATTAACATGTTGTTGTTATCAACTCATTCATTCATTCATTCACTCATCAGTTGAATAATCAATGTCACCTATCCACACATCATAGATTCTGGCAAAAAAGAGGAAAAGATATTTTGAAAGAATTGATGCTCTTAGTTCTTTATTATTATTATTATCATTATGTTCGTTGATACATAGATATATATCTGGATGTATACTTCTTAATATCATCAAAACAATTTTTTCTAATTGGTTCAAAGTTAATTTTGAAAAGAAAAAAGAAACAAAAATCTTAAGAAAAAGTTGCAGAAAAGAAAAACAAATCAATAAAGTGAATAGATTTGTAACTGAGAGCGAATAGAAGAAAAAAAAAGAATTTTTCGTTCATTTAGAATTCATTTTCGTGTTTTTTTCTTTATTTTGGATAGTAAATAAATTGAATAAATAATCATGTTGTTTCAATGAATGAATTGTTAATTTTTTTTCTAAAAAAAATTGACTCTCATAAATAAATCCGTTGTTTGAGAGAGTAGGAATAGTTTTTTTCTTTTCCTTTCCTTATTATTTAATTGAATTGATTTGAAACAATCCTGTCAAATAATCAAGTTTGGTTGAATGAAATCAGATGGAAATTAATAAATGATTGTCTCTATCAAACAATCCGGCTTCTTGAAGTTTTTGCAATCGTAACCTAATGAAGTAATAGACAAACGCGCTCATCATGCTTTTCTGTAACTAAAAAAAGTCACATTTTACTGACATCGTGCAACAAACCAATAAAATCAATTTATTCGGGTTCATGTAAACCACATAATTTCTTATTGTAGTATAGTTGAAAGTATTCACAATAATAACTGGTTAGATAAATGGAATTGTTAAACAGTTCTCCCAATAGCACAAATAATATTGATTGCATGATGATGAGTAATGCCTTAGACAATTTTAAAATAGATCGACATTTTATGGGATATGCTTAGTGAAAGAACATAAAATTGATAGGAGATTGTGAGTTGTAAGGATTCAAATGTAAATCCCATGGATCTTGGAAAATATAGCGGATGTGAAAACCTATGCTTAAGTTACATATTTACTCGATAGATAAATTTAAATGATGCTTAACATAACTAATAAGAAAATCAAAGTTTAAAGCACTGGTCTGCTGTTTAGTTAATCTTTTAAAAGTTGCTAAACAAAATATCTTTGGAAATAAATTAGACAGTACACATAAACTGCCAGAAGATTTGTGTTCCAAAGTGGAGTTGGATGTTAGTTTTCCATCCACACATGATCATCTTAAACAAGAATTAAAGGCTTCATCACTACTTATAACCCAGTCTGACGCTTTGAATCATAGAGGTGGTTATAAAGAGATATTTAAAGGAACTGGTCAATTCACCAGTTAAACCCAAAACCAACATGCGGCTTGTTAGAACCACACTCATTAAATCAATGTTATTTACTTCACGTAACTGGCATACGAATTGAAAAATGGTTCATATTATCATTATTATCATAGTGAACATGTATTCGTTGGGAAAAACTCGTACCTGATGTTTATCCCGTTTTTAATCATACGTATATCTCATTCATTTTTAAGTAAGCAGAATATTTTTTATCAATGATTATATCAAAATGTATATAGCTCATGCACAATGTAGAGATTTTCTTTGTTTATTCAAATATACTGTCTCAATAATTTCATGAATTATTTAGTATTTAATTTCAGTGGGTATTCAATTTCAGTGATCACATGTTATTTCTTTTCACAACTCTTTACTTTAAAACCATAAGAAATCTGTCATACGTAAGGCATAAACCATCAACTTCGATTTCAAATATTTACTGTCACTGTTGATAAGAACTAGTAATTAGTTTAAATATGAAACTACTAACGATAAATTGAATCAAATACGTTTAATCATAAGAATGTGATGCTTATTTATCATTAATTCGATCGAAACTTCAACAACCACCATGAATTCAATTTACATATTCATCTGTCAGACGCATATAGTGTAAGTAGGCTAGTTAAAGGTAGAAGAGTTGTCATTTCTTTTAGGGGCTACAACAAGTGACAACTTGAATAAAAATTTGAGGTTTAATTTATTGACGGTAAAAGCAATGATTAAGTATAGTAACCTCGAAATGAATAATCTTCAACTTGCAAATAGGATACGTTCGCTTGACTCTGAAGCATGATAATGCACCAGAAATAAGAAGTATCTCTAAAAGTATATTATCAAACCTATACTGTCTAAAACATAAATTCACTTCATGACATCATACAACTGCAGACCATTGAATATCATGAAAAAGACTGCTTAGTTTGACGTAACTGTTACCTTCATCTATCATAAAAAACGTCTAATTTAAATTAAATATCATCAACATGTATATACCTTACTTGCATAGAAACCACTTAAGAGATTGGTTGGTTAAACACTAGAAATGCAATAACCCGATGATCATATTTACGACAGTGGTAGTTCAACACGCTCCGACAATTATCATTTTGTAAACCAAACAGATTTGATATTCTCTTTCAAATCTGAAATTCTTTGCTTCAAAAATATAATATAAAAAAAATTCAGACAATAATCAGTAATGGAATTTTTAATTTAAATCTGATAAAGTCTACTATTGTCATTCTTCCTATCAAGAAAAACAAAACCTTTTAACTTAATGGAAAAATAATTCATTTTGCAACAGAAGTACATAATTTAAGTAATTAGGCAAATTATCTGTCAAAAATAGTCACTATTCTATTGGTTGATGAATTTTATTTTCTATTGGTCAATAATCTGGGATATAAATATTCAATCTGAAAAGTTTTTTTTCATTAAAAATTTTTAATCATCCGCATTACATCTAAATACGACTATACATGTTTACATGTTTAATTACCTAATTTCATTTTACAATTCAGTTGAACAATGATTTTATGAAGATAGAATCAACGTTTTCATCATCATCATCATAATAATAATAATCACATATCATTATGATATTGTCAATGGATGGTAATTTTACAGAATATCACCCGAAAGTACATCATTCATTAGGTACATTATACAGTGTCGCACCAATAATAATTTTAATTATTGGAATACCCGGTAATTTATTATCAATGGTTATTTGGTTGAGACGTTTATCTACTACAATTGGTTCAACAAGCTTATTAATTGGTGTTATGTGTATGACTGATACATATGTTATAGCTCATGGTTGCTTAAGACAATGGATAATTGGTATAACCAATGAAAAAGTGGATATACGTATTAAATTTGGCTGTGGTATACCATTATTCTTATTTACATTTTCAACAGATTTATCAACATGGATCATCATTTTATTATGCATTGAAAGAGCTGTTTGTGTTTGGACTCCAATCAAATTTAAACAATGGTGTAAATTAGAACATGGAATAACAGCTTTAGCTTTCGTTATATTATGTTTAGCCGGTTTAAACATACACTATGTATGGACTGTGTATGTAAAAGATAATTCATGTGCACCGAAACATGAATATAGAGCCTTTCATTTATACTGGCCGTATATTGATTTCGCCATTTATTCATTTATCCCATTAGCTTTTATACTACTAGTAAATATAAGTATTATATGGAGGATGAAAACCACAAATGTATCAACAAAACATTCACAAAATATAACAATACCAAGAAAAACACCAATAAGCGATGATTCCAAACAAACAATGTTAAAATCCTCAACTTTACATAAAGATAAATCATCAACAACTCGTGAACAACGTTCTGCACGTGTATTACGAACAGTAGTATGCATGACGATAAGTCATTTTCTATTAACTATGCCAGTAGTATTCTTTTATTTATTCGAATCGAAATTTTGTATTGATAGTAAAGATTGGATCAATGTCTGTGATACAGTTGAAAGAGTAACTGTCATATTACAAATGATTAATCATATGACACATTTTTTTATTTATTCTTGTACATCAAGTGTATTTTTGTCAGATTTAAATCGTTTGTGTAAAAATCATCCATTGAAATGTTGTCATTCAATGCATACAATGAATACACAACTTGTTAATACATCTATAAATGTTGTAGACAATCATACAGTGAACTGTTCACAAGCATCTACCCTATGATAAATTATCAGTTAACTAGTAAACTCTAACAGAAAAGAATCGAATCGTTTCCGATACAATTTAATCAATGTTGATTTATCATTGTTTGCTTACTTTTTTTTACAATGAATCCAACTTTACTAATCTGCATTTCATACTAGTTAATAAATCTTATGTGAAGCAAAATTTAACATTCATTCATCCATTCATTCAATCGGTGTGTAAGAATGAATAAATTTCTGTGAATAGTTATATACATTAAATGTTTCTTTCTTTTTATTGCCGTTTATTTTACTGTATGCGATTATTTTACTTGTTTACAGGCTAGTTTAATGTTTTCATATTTTTATATGCAACAAAATTATTCAACTAAACAAGCGGTTCATTTTAATCTATTCATTGTTTTTTTTCTTTTGAACAATTATTAATGGATATAAATGTGTATACTATGATTTTAAAATTATTCTGTTTTGAATATTTTATCCGAGATCAGTAGATTAAAATGAAAAAGCAGGTTCTCAGCATAGTTGATTCAATTGATCAGTTTTTCTATTTATTTGTTGCCCAGATATGTGAGTGAAGAACTTAACAGATCTATCAATATGTTGCCAGTTCCAATAGATTGATCTTTGAAACAGCTAATTTCAAAATAAAAAAAAGGCGAAAATTTGATTTGATTTTTTTGAAGGTAATATATTTTTAACGTACGAAATTTTTGATTAGGATAGCTGAAAAATTAGTTAATTCCTGTTTTCAAATATAAGAAATAACCCTGTCCAATGTAAATAGACGAAAGAAACATTTTCCTTGCTTGACAAGGACTCTATTGACTATATTTATTGTCGTTCAGTTATTGCGAAAGAATATACCTTCACCTATAGATATCTCCATTTTTGTTTCCATGTATTTATTTCAGAAATCCACAGTTTTTATGCCAAATTAGCATTAGATAAAAACTGAGAAATCTATTTTACCTAATTTTCAAACCTAAAGCTCGTAATCGCTCATGATACTGCACAATATCTAGCCTGTAGGAACGGGAAAGCTCACAACACGTATGATACATTTAAAGTATTCCACGGGTAACTAGTTAATTTTTCTCAACATTTGATAAATAACAATATTTATTACAATCAGTAAGTTAGAGTGCCATGAAAAGTGACATCCGACATTGATTATTTACACTAATCAAGACCTCATTGGGTTCATCGTCTTTAGGTGAAACTGTACCCGACGTTATTAGACGCTGAAAACTATATCCAAATTATAAGGTGTTTTCGATAAATTACCTTATTGAATGATAATATTTCGAGATTTTAATTATATGACTAATAGTATTTTATATTCAAAAATAAATATCCCATTCGAAAAAAGTTTCATATTTTACTGGTTGTTAATATTATTTGTTCTGCTGATAAGATAAAAAATTTTCATGAGACATAATGCTGCAAAAAGAAAGTCAACTATGATAACCTTTTATTGCTGTCAGAATAAATTTAATTGATTTCATTAACGCTTGAATTACACACTAAATGACTATGCGGATAAAAAACACCAAAAATCTATTTGTTTGGTTGTATCAATGAGACAGTGAAGAAAATTTGCAGTTCTCTGAGTTAATAGGAATAATTTGACATCCCCATATTAAAGGGTACAGTAATCAATGAAAAAATAGAACGATTTAAAAACTGGTCGGATTGTACAAAATGAAGTATATTTTATAAATGCTATAGAACTAAAACTATACCACATACATTTATACTGTATATTTTCTAGTTACGTTTTTTTACCAAGTGTCCTAATGCCTTCTAATTTTATATTATGAAACAATTAAGAGATAAACTATGATTTTGATTAATTCTCTTTTAAATACTAATTGTTATTTGTTTAGTAATCTGTGGGTTAAAGTGAAAATAAAATTATTATTTTCATTATTTCTATGTGCTGTTAAATAAGAAAAAAGTATTTAAAACCACTTAGCTATTATTTTTTATAAGTTTTCAAAGAATCATTCAATGAAAATGAAATAAAATCAATAAAATCTACCCTAAATACGAACACTTTCAATAACAACCCTTCGTGTTTAGATTCAATTTACAGATTATAATATAATTTAATATTCAAACAAATGGTTTATAAACACTAGGTGGTCTAAAATCATTTCAGCAGATTTTTAAAAAAAAAATGTACCCTGCATATTTTTTAAAAACAATTTTAAGCAATAAATTTATGATATACTTTTCTTAAAAAGTCTTAGGTATTTTAAGATTTTGGTCGATTCCCTTTCGTCGTACTCGCAGGGATTACTGTAAAGTGCATGTATTTATCTAAGTAAGCATCAGCAAAAAAAGCTTTACTGTAAGTACAACTAGTATAACAAATGTGTAGAGCATATTTCACTGTTGATAAATTTATCATAAAATTATTATTTATTTAGTCTGAAAGGAAACAGCTTTCACGATGATAATTTGTTGTAAGTTGATATTAGAAAATTTCTACTGTCAAATCGATCCTTACCAGTTGTAGAACAGATATAAATTTATTTATGAAAACATATAAATCACTAAAATTATTGTAAAAATGAATACTTCTGTTTATTTGTCAAAAATTAAGTATGAAAATAATCTGACTTTTGAGGTATTTGATTTTGAAAATTAGAGTATTAAGCTCTTTCAGATTAGTCGACCAGTTCCGAAAAAAATGAAATCGAATGATAAAATAATATAATTTTAACATGTAGACTTTTGAAGGTATCTAAATTTCTGTTAGTACTAACATTTTATTCCAATAAATGACTACGCTGGTATTTGATAATACTTTTATGACTAGTACTAAGAAACTGATAGCTGTAAACTTTCGGGTGATAAAATGAACCCCAAAGTTAAGGAAGTCAAACCATATTGATTAATATTTAAAATTGTGCATTTATCTTTATAGCTGTAAGCCTTAAAGGTACGGAAGGCTTTGTGACGAAACGTTTTTTATATGTCAACTGTCGAAAATTTTTAAATTAAAAATAAGTAACATCATGATTTTATACTTTTCCTAACCAACAGTAATTTATGCCGTAGAATTACATTTAATCAATGAATAATCACAAGTGAGTAACAATTGTTAGAATTAAAATATTCACACTATATAAAAAGGCATTCGTAACATAGAAAATTTAAAAATGTTGATGTATATCAGTTAAACAAATGGGAATTTTCTTTTTGAGAGAAATTCCCGTTACTGAAAAAATATTTATTAGTTAAAGCCATTTTTTTATTTGTAATTTAACGACATGAACTTGAAATTCATCCAAGGAAGAACACGTGAATTTATTTTTTTTCTCGCTGTATAAATGAAAAGTTAAGGTCAATTAGTTTTTTAATCAATCCAAGCATATTTTCATTGCAAAAATCAAACTCATTAAAGAGTTATGGAGATATTAATGAAAAATCTAATTATTAGATTGTACATTATGGTCAAGAGTTTACAAAGGTTACAATCATGTCTAGTTTCATGTACCTTGAAATGAATTCTGTCAAATAATATAGTTCTGGTAACTTCCTTACACCTATTCGTTAACTTTAATTTTTGGAAAAATCTATATAAATATACTCGATTGATAAAGGGAAGTTAAAGGCGATTTAACTAAGAATAATATGTGATACTTGATCAAGTTTCTATTTGATATAATAATACATAGTAATAGTTACCAAGGAAAGTGAACAACTAGAAATGAAGCTTACATCTTATGTAACTAAATAACCAATGATAACTTTATATGACCATACCAGGAAGACCTTTAGTTATCTAATTTTTTGTCAATAACTGGTAGTTCTTACCAAAATAACCACCAAGTTGCTGTGTGAATAAATATTCACATTCTTAGTTTGACAGGTGGACTGAGTCATGTTGGTAGATGTAGGCTACCTGGTTGGGGTCCGCGAGACGAAAGTCACCAATGGTTAGAGACCTTGAATAACATGGCTCAGAATCGTTTGCAATGGTGCAGGTGCATCCACTCTTTGTATTTTCTCAAATTCCAACCTTCTGAATTCCTCATCATCTCTGTCTTTCTCTTTCTAAACTTATCTCACTGAATTATACTTCTCGAATCATATCTTCGCTCCCTAATCTTCTCCATTATTGCTAATACTTCTACTATCGCTATCACTCTTGGATTTGAACCGACAGTTACGTCTCTGTGCTGATGTGGTATAGCGACCTGAACTGATGTACTTATGTACGAAGTTCTGCGTTGTATCTCTCATGTCATTCTTAGTTTGTTAATTTTGATGTGTGCAGAGGTCACTGTGGGAGAAAACAAACCAGATTCCAGTGGATGAGGAAATCAGGAAGAAGCGGTGGAAGTGGATAGGACACACACTGCGAAAAGCACCTAACTGCGTCACGAGACAAGCCCTCACATGGAACCCTCAAGGTAAAAGGTAAAGAGGAAGGTCAAGGAACACACTACGCCGAGAAATAGAGAAAGATATGAGGGGAATGAACAAACATTGGACAAAACTGGAGAGAGAAGCCCAGGACAGAGTTGGTTGGAGAAAACTGGTGGGCGGCCTATGCTTCATTGGGGGGTAACAGGCATAAGTAAGTAAGTAAGTAAGAGGTCATTGTTGACTAATCAAAATACTTGATTACTTACTTATGCCTGTTACTACTCATGAAGTACAGGATTTCGCTATCAACTCTATCCATTCCATTTAACTGCTTGATCCACAATGATTTTATCGGTACACGATTGATCCTTACGGAATCCAGCCCATTGATCTCTAGGTTGTATGTCTACTGAATCTTTTATTATGTTCAGCAACACTGTTGTAGACTTTTCCTGGTATTGATAGTAGAGTAATGCCCCTGTGGTTCTCATACTTGCTGAGACACCCTTTTTCCAGTATGTTGATCAGGTATTCTACTGTCAGTTTGGTGCTACGTATTGGTCCTTGGAACCTACTGTTGAAGGCTACCGTAATTTCACTGTTTGTTAGTATTTTAAAGAAAAACTGTATTAAAAGTTTGCGATTCAGTTTCCCGGTACCTATTTAGCTTCAGATGCTTATTTGCTACCCCCACGTGGTACCCTGAAGCTATATCAACTCTCCCTGTGTCTAATTTGAACCATCTGAACTGTTTATTTATCAACACGCGGTTGATATAGGTTTTGTGGTGTGGTTTGATTAAACCCATGAAACTTTCCTTACGGATTTGGGAAGGAATATTATGCTATCTGTAACCATGTTATTGGAAGAACAGAGATTTGCAAGTCTCTTACTGTTCTTGTTCCTATGTCCTCAATCATGTCGTTTTATGGTGTCTTTATACCCTGTGTTATCGTTTCAAACTTGGCGTTTGTATCTCATTAGGATGGTACTT